ACTGCAAACTATATAATAGCCATGAGGTATTAATTCTGGTTATGGAGCTAACACAACGAACAATGGCTAGAAGGTATTGTTTGAACAACCATGGGAGACCCTTGGCGACCCATTTAGACTGTGGGGCAAGGCCCAGTTAACCATTCCAAAAAAAAGTTTCGTAGTCCCATCATTGGCAGAGAAAACTAACTATACTAATTGATTGTGATGAAGTTGCTGATGAGAAAACACTTTTGTTCTCCAAATTTCGTACACCCGTTAATGAGATAATCCGCTTATTAGTTTTGGGGTATTTTAACAAGAATTCCTTGAAAAAGACTAGTGCCATTTATGGTAAATAAGCTATTGCTGATTGAAAGTTGCTAGTTCTTGATTATTTTTTGCAAAATGTTTATTTCAGAGTTGTATGAGACTGTTCAGGTGTGATTTTTCTGCGCAATTAATTTATTCGCCCCCGAAATGCCCAAAAGAGCCCCCCCATTTTTTTTTAATACATTGTACTTATAATTACCTTTTACCTTATTAAACATATGAACAAACACAAAATAGCTCTTAACCACATTTATTGTACAACCAATTGCTGTTTCAATCATACGCACTATGCTAACTTGCATCATTAAATCTTACTAAACTCAATATTTAACCACCCGGTACAAAAAAGTCCTTATTCTCTGATAATTTATGATATTTAATTATTTATGCTAACAACTAATATTTAAACGATTACTTATTCGTTATCCAGAGTGATGTCTACATTTGACACACAAATATCAAAGGGCATCACTAATACTATCAATATTAATTCATAAATAAATATCGACAAACCTTTGCGATATTACTAATTCTAAACAATGATCACTATGAAGTGTTCTCAATATCATTAGAATAAGTGACTAAACATATTAATAACATTAACACCTCTTCAATTGAATGCACATAAAAAATGCTTTGCACAACAATTATCACACAATCTCACAATCTCACAACAATTATCACACAATCTCACACACATCAATTATCACAAAATCTCAAGGCTCAGTCTTGATTGGGCTGAATTTCCCAGGAGGAAGATCACCTGCTTTCATCAACAGCAGATCATTCGGAGTAATGACCCCTAAGTCGTCAGGGTCATCTGAAGACTGCGTGAGTGGACGGCTATTGATAATTGCCTCCACCTCGCACATTAGAGTTTGCAGCTCTTCCTCCTGCCAATTGCCTTCCTGGGTTGCCTCCACAATTGTGAATTCAATTAAATTAGGTTTCACAAATATTATAACTTGGTTTAGACTGCTAAATGCTTCTTGCTTGTAGTTTGGACGTAAAGTGAATCAGCACCTGGCTTTTACTTGCTTGCTCATTACGTTGCGTATGTGAAGATGTGCGTGCATTACAAATACGCATTTACATTACGTCGAAACTCAATGCAAGGATTAGCAAGGGAATGACATGTAATTAGTGGTGAAACCAACTACAACATTAGGGGTCTACACTCCTGTACCAGTACTTTCAATTAATGAGAATCCTAGTGTTCTGTTCATTGATTGCTTGTTGTAGTAATTTGCCACCGTCAATATACTGGCATGAAGTCAGAGTTTCTTTGGCCCTCTTTCCGTGCTTGTACAGATCTTTAATTACTTTTTGGCATATGATACACTCAGATGGAAGCACATGTTCTGATCGTCTAAAGCTGGCAGATGAGCACCGAGATCGTAGATCCCTACACGGCGTCTTAGGTTGTGGAGGGATATCAGATGGTTCTGGATAAGAAGATAAAACACTAGGTTAAAAAAGACATGTTTTGAAAACATTGGCCTATTCCCATACCCCTATAAACAAATAGTTTATAATAAAAGTAAAAATAATTACAAGTTGAGTTTTGTTTTCATTTAGTTTTATACATTTACTTAAATATCATGTAATATGTATATACATTTACTTAAAATACTTTAATATCATGTATAACAGTATCACTGTATTTTGACTTGTTTGATCTGACAAAACAACTTTTTTTTTTTACCCTACCGAGTTAACAACAACAACGAAAATTCTGTAAACCAACAAAATAAAAAATGGTGGCCTTATGATTAAAATGCAATTTTCAAATTAAGGCCCACCTAAGTCAATGTTTCAAAAACCAACCACAAATACACATTGGAGCTCGGTCGTCATCATTTTAATTTTCTGTTTAATGTTTTAAAGATGGTCCACATATGCACCAATAATTGGCAATATAAAAAATGTAAACAACACATCACACCCCAGCAGAAAATATAACCGGTTTATAGAGAATATTGTCATGACAATGCAATGAGAATGATTCAAACAACTGGCAAGCTTCATCATTCCTAGCTCTAGTACTATAGCCCTCGTAGTCGTACAGTTGCCGCAGAACTGTACAACCTGTATTGCCTGTATTGCCTGTATTGCTGTATTTGCCTATATAAGTATATTGCCTGTATTGCCTGCAGCAACTGTACGCGGGCTATAGTACTAGAGCTACATCATTCCTAGCCCTAGCCCTAGCGCCTAGGCGGCCTGGTAATATTAAATAGGCAAATGTAATGTTTGTCAAAGTCAAACTCAAAGCAGGCCGGGCCTTATAAGGCTTAATTTCTGCTGGGTTATCATGGTTATTGCAGACAACGAGATTTAAACTCACCTTCAAATTCAGTATTTTCAGAATCTTGAGGTATTTTACGTTTTCTCTGTGCTTGTTCCAGCTTCCTTTTGTCCGTAAACTTCTGATAACATTGTCGGTGAAAACGTGCATGAAACGGCGTTGTTATCAATACATTTGCACTGGTTGTCGCTGTATACAATTCAATACGGGCGACATTGGAAAGGAAATCCGATGCAATTTTGCACTTTTCTCCGTCCGTATTTTTCAAATCTCAGCAGAAGCCAAAGCTTTGGACATGTTGTGTCTGTAAATTCTTTCAAAATAACATCATTCACAGTCGGAAAGTGAATAAAACACTTCTTTGTCTCTGGGATCGCGTGACGGAAACTTGAGTGGCGTTATTCGCCATTATGGTTGTCAGGGGCGTTGCACGAACGAGGACATGACGTAGGGAAAATTCCGCCTCGTGATTGGTTGAATTTGACAATCTTTCGATTTCGCGGCACAATATTCGGAGGCAAAATAATTACTTAATTTAATTTATTTTAACTACTTTTTTCCAAATATAACGAGGAGAACAAACTTTCAATATGTTTGTAATAATTTTCTGTACATTTTCATACTGGTTTTGGTCAACTGCCACTGATGGGACTACGAACAACACAATATAGTGACTTGCCCCACAGTTCTAAAAATACGCTGCCGTGAACGTGACACACCGCGCGGACCCGTCACCGCCCATATTTATTCGTCGCAAGCGGCCAGCGTGCTAGAAATCGCACCAGTTGTTCCTAGTGCCGCACGCCTAGGACTAGATACAATAATGTACCAAACCCAGAGAGGATTAGGCTTGACCTCCCTATCCTCTCTGCGGTTTGGTTAACATTTCATTGTATCTAGCTAGGACGTGCGGCAGCCTAACTGCACCTTGCCCCCGTATAACTGGTACCACTGTGAACAGTGTAAAATTATTGGAGACCCCATGCTCTCGTGGAAAGAGGTTGCGTCAAGTTTAATTGGGTAATGGTCGAATTTTAGATTTAATTCGACATAGAGTATTGTATTTATATTTTGTATTTACATCTTCGAAACAAGCCCGTCGTGAACTATGATTGCTATATATGGCAATATCTGGAATAATTTAGTTAAATTCTCCTCACGCATATAGTCAACTAAACATCGTCTGCTTAGACAAACACACCCCTTCCTCACCCCTACGCTATCCAACTGAGCGCGATCTGTTACCTATGTCGTCATGTGGTACATGGTTACGACTCAAACCGTATGCGCCAGCCACCGTGCCACGATTTTCGACAAAATACAACAACATTTACGATGGGAAATCCGAATACGTTTCCAAGTAATACTACTTACAACTACTTACTACAACTAACTACTACACTACCAGTTCAACTGCTGCTGCCTGCTGCTTACGTACAAACTACTACGTAGCTACTATTACTACATTACTGCTGCTGCTGCTTCTGCTGCTAGTCACAACACTACTTACAGTCATTCACTATTACTGCATGCCTGCTCCTGCTAGTACAGCTCAACATACAGTCAGTACTATTACTGCTGCGCTTGCCAGCTGCGATGCTGTGCTGCTAGTACAACTACTACAGTACTTGTACAGTACTATTACACTACGTACTACTACTGGTGTCTATTACACCACGGCACATACGTATTCGCAGCAGCCACACTTCTGTCGTCATGCAGAACCCAACACACCGTGGACACACGGCTTCTCTCAAACTAACCTTAAAGCGAGACGACAGACGACCGACGACAGACGACGACTGACGACGAGGATGGACAAGCCGCGGATGTTTGCTCGCCGTCCACGCGCATCCTCGCCTCGCGCGTGAAACGTCGCGCATGCAACATGCGTCTGCCGAAGCCGCCAACCTACAGGACTGCCCCGCGTCCGTCTTCCGTGGCTGTGCTCGCTGGGAGATGGGCGACTACGCCGCGTGTCCGTACCTGGTGCGCTTGCGTCGGCAACTCGGACACGTCGCTCGCGACGCTTCTCTTGTTCTAGATCGGACCGGCCCGTCTATTTTTCGCTCGTCGGTCGTACGGCTTCACCTCCGCGACTCAGATTCCGCGACGGACCTTCGACCGACGTCCAGCGCCGAACAGGCTCTTCGTCAGAGAATAGCACGGCACTTCTGCCGAACTCACGGCGCGATGCTGTTTCGCCGGGGGGGGGCGCGGAGCCGCGTCGAGCAGACCTCTGGCTTCGCTTCAACACCGGCCGCTGACGACGGCGACGCGTCGGCCGCTCACGCAGCTGCGCGCTTACATCCCTGTACGACTGCCGCCGGTCGACCGCGTGCGCCCGGCGTCCCTCCCGCCAACCTCCGCCACCTCAAGTGCTCGAGTTCTGTCGGAAATTCCGAAGATCTGTGGCGGCGGGGCCGGCGTCATCGCTGCGCTGCATCGCAGGCCGTCACGATGCGCTGGAACAACGTGAGCTATCAGTCGACGCGACGCGTTCACCTAAGGACAACGTCCGCCCGCTGAGAACCATCGACCTGCTCGGCGAACGCCGTCCTGCGATTCACGGCCAGGAAGTTCGCGAACCTCCCGGGGCGGATAATGCCTCATCCTACGCACCGCACCGGTGACTGGCGGGGTCGCGGCGGCGGCAGCTTCGACGGGAGCGAACGACAGAAGGCTGAGGCAGGGATCCCTGCTGAACGGAAACCATATTCGCATGTGTCGGCGCCGGCGTGTTCTCCACGCTGTCCCTGCCACTCGCGCCTCTCCTGTCAGACGAACGCGATCACAACCCTGCAGCGCGGCGCATTCTCCTGCGGAACAACATCGCGCTCGAGACGATCGTGCTCTTCTATACACTTTACTCGGCGTGTTCCGGCCGGGCGGTTCGACGAACTCCCCGCGCTCGCGCTGCCTCATGATCGACCACAACGACTCTTCGGGAGATCGAACCGGCGCTTTTTCCGTGCGCGAACGTCGCGCTCTGTGACCTCTCCTCCACGCGACAAGTATCAGGATACGTTGCCGAGCCGACGTTTTGCGGCCTGCTGCCTTCGCTCGCCCGTATTTCGCCAACTCAACTTCGTCGCCGATGTGCGCGCCGGGGCGTTCTCGCAAGCAGAAACGGGCGCCGCGAACGATATCTGCTGTCGTTCAACCGTCTCACGCGCGTCGAGGCGGCGACTTCGCCTGACCTTCCCGCGCTGCCCGCTCGCTCAAACTCGGCAACAACCTGATAGAGGCGTTCGCGCGGAGCGTGCTCTCCGCCGCTAAAAGACTCGCTGCTCGAGTTGAGCTTGAACATGATCGTTCGTCGAGGAGCTGGAGGTTTGGCGGTGGTTGTCGAGGTCGCGGCCCTTGCGCCGGCTCCAACCTACATGGACAACAAGCTGACTACCGCTGGCGGCGGAGGCCGTGCCGCGCTGGAATCAGCATCAACCTGAGGGTGGCGTGATGCTGCGGTAACCATGACACGGGGGGCGGTGGCATCGTCATGTAGTCATCATGTTACCGCTGTTAATTAATATCTTGCGGCATTACATTTTTTACATTATTAATTATTCCATTACGTTATTTATTATATATTTAGTTGTTTTTATTATTTTTAGCCTTAATCGACGCCCCTAGTCAGATGCAGCTTGTAGAATTCGCATGATCGCGAGGTGCGTCCGTCCGGCCGTTCGCCGTCTGTGCGGTGCGTCAACAGCTTGGGCACATCTNGTAGCGATATAAAACGGCCCGCCACTCACTTGGTGATGATGTACCTCTCGCCGTCCTGTTGCTCTGCAGAGATGGAGGTTTCGGGGGTGGCGGCGGGGGTGGTGGAATACTCGCTGATACCTGCTGGGGGGCCGGTGGTGGAGGCGGCGGTGGCGGTGGCTGTATTAAGGAAAGTACCGAATCACTACTAGCACTTGAAATACAATTATGAAACACAATTATTAATACATACTATACTATATTTATCTTAAACTCATTATATCATGTCAATAAAAACTGCTATGAACAGAATTATCGCAATAATGCTATTACCTGGTTTATACTATTACAATTGGCGAAAACACAACCATGATGAAACCACGGCCAGCAGAAAACACGACAGTGGTGAAAACACGACAGTGGTGAAACACTGCCGTGCGAAAACACGACCGTGAGAAAACACGACCGTGCGAAAACACAACCGTGCAAAAACACGACCATGGTGAAAACACGACTGTGGTGAAAACACGCCCGTGGTGAAAACACTACCGTGCGAAAACACGACCGTGAGAAAACACGACCGTGGCGAAAACATGACCGTGAGAAAACACGACCGTGGTGAAAACACGACCGTGGTGAAAACACGACCGTGGTGAAAACACGACCGTGGTGAATACACGACCGTGTTGAAAACACGACCGTGCAAAAACACGACCATGCAAAAACACGACAAAACA